GAATAACAAGAATCGAACTCTGAATATATTAACACGTGCATTGCTGCTGTTGCTCCTCCTCCTCGCTAAAGGAAAACTCACGGGTCATTGAATAGTTATACCCAGAACCTGTTCTGCAAGCCGTTCATCAGTGTTGTAATATATGCTCGTTTATCTCACTAGTGCTCAACCAGAGGAGTTTACGCCGAAAGTAATCCCCTCCCAGAACTTGCATATCGTCATCCACGCATGTAGTTGACCATCTGCATCACCATACTTCCCTCCCTCCTCCCACACACTGGCATTCATTGGAATGGGTTTCACGATATCAGTTGCTATCTATAGATCAAACGATCCATCATACTCGTCGACCTGCGCTAAGGTGCATTAAGCCTTTTAGCTGGAACTCCATCTCTATCGATTCCAATGCTTGCTTGCTTTAGCTCACCACACTATCGTATATTACAAGAGTGTTGCCCAGAAATATAACTATACACGGCGATGTTAGCATTAACATGAGAAGTGCAAGGAAAGCCATCAAGCTCGAAGGTTCCTCTTAGCTCGGATTTACAACTGATACTCAATGGTTTCAAAAACAGAATTCAATGTATCTCTCGTAGCACAAGTAGAGCTTTAGCTTCGAAGCTAGGACCTATGATACCCACTAAGGTATTTTCTTGAGTGAATACAGGTGGAGATCCGTACGTTATAGGGCCGATGTGTCTCTCTTGCGTAAAGGAAGCTCTTTGCTAGGCTTAGAGATAGTCTACACGAGCGATTGAGGCATTCTATTATATCCAGTGTGATGGAATCAGTAAGAAGATAGATATATATCTGTGAAACCGTTAAAATTTCCTAAGACGATTAGCCAAGTCGTTTTATGTACACTCAAGTGGATGATGGATGAAGTTATGACTTTTATATATGTCCAATCTCCGATAAAAGACAAATGTTGTTTTCGGATCTTACAGTATATCGTGGGAAGAACTGTTTAGAGTGTGGGAGAATATGCACATGTTCATGTTTAGTTTCATATACACTTAGTTGGGGGTTACTGAAACTAACTGGGATGAATGATGACTTTCGTGATACCCTATATGTGTTCAATTCTCATTTTGTGGAGAGACGAGACTTCTTACGATTTAACTAACTGCTGTATACTTTCGCGATTCACATCGTGCGAAA